GAAAATACTGCCAGTGCCAGGTAAACGTAATGCAGATTATGAATATACTTAAGATTCACAGATACCAAAACAACGTGTCTACACCAGACGCGAGCGGCACGACGTGACAAAAGCAAATACAGCAGAACCCAGTGATGTTCTCTGCTGTGAATGCGACGCGACACGACAAATCCATGACCGTAAACTGATGCCGCTTTCTATTTCTGACGAACTCCAGCTCTCTGACTCAAAGAACAATTTCAAATATTCATAAGAGAATCATGAAAAAATTGTTTCCTCAAAAATATTAAGCAGCACAAATGTTTACAACATTGATAATAATCAGAAATGTTTCTTGAGCAGCAAATCAGCATATTAGAATGATTTCTGAAGGATCATGTGACAGTGAAGACTAGGGCTGCATGATATATCGAAATATCGCAATATGCATATCGCAAGGGCGTGCGATATCTGAATCATTTTAATAATAGGCTACTTAAATCAAAACATTGCAAAAGGTCAAAGTTTTAGTTCGACGTATATAGCAGAGAATTGCTTGACGTTAAAAAGAGTTAAGTGCAATAAGTTGCAGAAATCAACTCTGTCGTCTCGCCTTGCTGTCTGACTCACACCTGTAGCGCGCGCACAAGCCACATCTCACACAGCATATCTTCCATTCTGCCGCACATGTGCAAAGCGTGCGCACACACAGAGAGATGCGTTTCAGACGGCGCACGAACACCGAGTTGATTCGTCTTTCGCATTTATGTTTGAACAGACACATACACAGAATTATGTCAATAGCACCCGTCTCGACGATCATTCTCGTAAATGCAGTCGGTTATGTTTTAAATGAATGTATACAGCTGAGAAAGAAATCGGATGTGTATCATTATACTGGAGCCGTGCAGTCAGATTTAAAGGGACAGCAGCCTATAAATACGTGCTGCTGAATATGTCACTAATGTTAATCAAACAACAAAAAAGCTATAACAAAGATTAATCTAAATTTAATTCATACAGTGAACCCTATGCAGTGTTATTTTACACCTAATTATTAAATTTCTGTATCTGAATACTACCTTTTATTTTATCTATGCTTGTAAATTGTGTATTTATTTATTTTTCTTTACTGACTGTTCATTTGCCTTTAATCATGTTTGAACTTTCTCAGACTATAATTTTTGCTGTAGTATATGAAGAAGTACTTAAAGTGTGTGGAAAGCAAAGTTACAATGATATAAAATTAGTGTCATTCTTTTTTTTTTTTGTATGTTCACACTGATGACATTTTCTGATTTGTGACATTACTTTTTATGTACTGCTAAAACACTGCTGGTCACTTTCAGAAGTTGTAGTGATTCTTTCTTTTCCAAGAAAGAAT